CATATATATATATATATATATATGCTTGTAGACATTGATATATGTCATATTCTCTCAGCCTACATGATTAACTTAATTTTTCTTTTTCAGAATATTAGAAGCCCTGGCTAGTATATTTTCCACTCCTATATCTTTGACATATCGTTTTGTAAAAAAAGATTTATTTGACTAAATTTAACACATTTCTGTAAATCACGTGAGTCAAAGTAAATCTTTTCCTGGTTGAGTCTCTAATTAATTGAGGTGGTAACCAGTGAGCCTAAGAATACGACACACCCCTAAGGTTCTGACATAGCCATCCCTTAGTTAGGAGGGCAACCAATTGGAAGTACCCATCGCCTTACACTTACTAAAATAGCATGACTGACTGTGTCAGCTATATCTTTCCTAAAGCTGGAAATGCGAGGCATGTTCTGGAACTTATCGCATCTGTAATCTTGGACCTTCGATCAGCAGCCTTACACGTTAACCATTACGCAACGCTCAGTCAAAGAAATGTAAACCGTATGAGATCCAAAATTAAAATATTTGCTCGGATGGTGTTTTGGGTTTAGACATAACGGATTAAAGGATTATAGACACACTTCCATCTATCGCAAAGAAATTAGTGTTGTAAATCACTGTCGTGATTTTGTTTTATTTGCTAAAGATATCAAATCAACATGTTGATAGAGTTCTCCGTGACTTTTTTTTTTTCGGTTGGAAAATTTTAATGGCCAGAACCTCAATATTATTTAACCTGATGCTATAAATAGGATGTCAACTTGTTCGAATTTAATTTATTAAACTTTTAAATTTGATATTATTTATTAAGGCCTTAGATGGGTTTGTTTGTTTTTGTTTGTTTTTTGAATTTCGCGCAAAGCTACACGAGGGCTATCTGCGCTAGCCGTCCCTAATTTAGCAGTGTAAGACTAGAGGGAAGGCAACTAGTCTTGGGCTACTCTTTTACCAACGAATAGTGGGATTGACCGTCACATTATAACGCCCCCACGGCTGAAAGGGCGAGCATGTTTGGTGGGACGGGGATTCGAACCCGCGACCCTCAGATTGCGAGTCGAGCGCCCTAACCACCTGGCCATGCCGGGCCTAGATGGGTTTGTAGAAACTACTTTAAACTGAGAAGCTTCTTCCCTTTCAAGGACAAAATTATTATAATGCAGACATTCGTTTATAAATATAATAATGCCCCTTCTGCTTGAAAGGCTTCATTGGGTCTACCACCAGATGTCTCTAGAAAAGGATTGTAGGACATCGTACTTCTGCTCTCAATAACAACTCACGTGTTTTACAACATGCTATGGAGTGTGGCTGTAATATTAAATTCGAACACTTTGACGTTCTATTCAAGGAAACAGATGAAAAACATTGAGGTTCAAAGAGGTTCTGGCCATTAAAGTTTTCCAACAGGAAATAAACGTTTTGAAGAACTTTTTTAGCATATTAATTAAATAATTCAAGGAATTAATGAAAAAGTGACAGAAAAAAAGCACTATCAACACGTGTTTTTATATATGAAAAATATCTTCAATTTCCACACACTGTGTCAAAGTGTAGACTTTGCAGTTCTTGTTGTTTCCAACCTCAAGTAATCATTGATTCGACCTTAAATTAAGAACCTTTTTAATTTGGTTTTGCTGTTCAACACAAAGCTATACAAAGGACTAGCTTGACTTTGTTCACTGATGGTATCGGAACCCAACTTTTAGCGTTATAAGCTCACAGACTTACCGCTGAGTCATAGACGAAATGATAATAACAATAAGGTGGGTCAAGTTATTGTACAGTTGGTAGTAAACGGTTTGTACTAAAGAAAATATTATGAAAATAAGTTAAAACCAATTTAATTATTGTTTGTTTCAGAATGAAATATACATACATTGCATGTGTGTATGTCAAAATGTTGTCAAAACACTAGGTTTTGGAAGTATTTAAAATTCAGCAATCAATGCCTTACATTACAAAATTTACGTTAGAATTCTATATTTAAAATAGAAGGTAGTAAGTAGGCTTACTGGTTACTATGGTGTTTGAACTACTTACAAATGCAGTTGTTGTTCTTCCAGAGAATTCCGAAACTACAATGGCGGGACTAGCTGTGTAGTAGGCTCCTCCACCTAAGCCTTCAACGATCCGCACAGCAATAGCAAGAATAAGGAAAGTGGAACCTGGTTCTGCTTTATCCAGGAATCTGTAACATAGTCAAGGTTGCAACGTGGGAGAAATTCCATCAGAAACACTTTAATCATTACATTTATAAAGCCCCCCTTTATGTCAGCACGTGCGTGCGCGCACACACACAAACAATAGGCAAGGTCGACACACCTGATTTGTATATTTGTTTTATTGCAAGGCTACACATTGGACTGTCTGCGCTCTGTCCACCGCTGAGAATCTAGTCCTGGGTTTTAGTGTTGTAAGTCAGTAAACTTACTGCTGATCCATCGGAGAGATACATACCTGAGGAACAATACTTATATTCTGAATCGGTGTTTTGTAAAGGTAAGTAGCCAGATGTCCTTGTCAAATCCGGGATTAATGTTTTGTAATGAATAATATAATTAATCGCATTTTGTGAAAACTGTTTCAACCATCGGTGATCGTGATCGGTCCGATGACCATGGTTGCGCAAAACTGTCCAACACCGCAATTTCCTCGTAACAAGCTTTTGCGAATAATGGCGAGGCCAAACATACTTAGCTCAAGCATACTGATAAACGATCCACAGATCCTCCACTGTACATAGACATCGGCTTCCAAGACCGCGTGTAATTAGCTGAATCTATGGATTTACCTGTTATGTGATCGAAGGAGATTGATTTGATTCTAGTTTCTTTTTAGTTTTTTTGTTGTTTTTTTGTCTATGTTAAGATGGAATATTTGAATTGTTGGTTTGTGAAGTTTTTCCTATTAAAATCCTTGTATATTATATAATTAATGATACCATGAGATATGCCTAGCTTTAACGCAATTAAATTTTGGGTTGAAGGGTTCCCTTTCGTAATCGTAGCCTTCACTACGCGAATGAAAGCTTTGCTGATTGATTTAGGGTGTGCTAGTAAAAAGAAACTGGATAAAGTGACATTAAAATCTGTATATATATATATTAAATACTGTTGCAAACAAATAGTAAACTAATATAGATAACAATACGAATGCTAGTCGTACACAATGATGCGTACATTTCATTTTCTAGCAAGATATATATTTTGGTTTGGTTTTATTTGTATTTCCCTAGTTCCATCATCTTAGTATTCATAGTGACGTTATTCAATTCGTGATAAAAAGGCTTTAAAGAAATCTGTGTGGATACTTGGCTTTTCCCTAAATGTTTGAAATACATCACTCTGTATTTTTGTTTGTTTGTTGTTAAGCACAAAGCTACACACTAGGCTATCTGTGATCTGCCCAACGCAGGTATCGAAACTTCATTTTTAGCGTTATAATCGTCAGACTTACCGCTAAGCCACAGATGAGAAGGCAGAAAATATATACAGCTATCAATATAATTTTGAGGCTTAATTACTCATTATTTGTTACCTGTTCCTCAAGCATTTAAGAAACTTGTATGAAACCCATGATGGGATAATTAGTGTCTACACGATGAGACAAAATTATTATATGATCCACCATTAACACAAAATTGGACAACCTTAATCTATATTTTTATGAATCATATTTCATGAAATACATGAATACTTGAAATCAAAGGTAGAACCAATTATTTTGTGTATGTTTGTGAGACAAATTTCACTGTCATTAAGCTCAGTTGTTGGTTTTTTTTCCTTTGTCGTCACTGTGTCCTAAAAAACAAAATAAGTTTACGACTTGAGCATACACGCTTTGTTTATTGCAAATCGTTGAATAAGCATGATATCGTGCAATAAAAATGTACACGTATAAATCAATATTGGCATTAGGCCTAAAAATTCATGAATGTAGATTGACTTTTTAAAAAAAATCTGTAAAAACGAGATTTTCGGATCAGAACTGAAGAGAGTCACTAAAATACTCGGGTATTACATGACTCGTTTGAAAACGAATAAATGCATACAATGTTTCCCATTTAATATATTATTAACATATTGTGATACCAAATCCTTTGTTGATAGGAAGTTACTCGGACGAATTACTTTAGTCTTTTTAGTGCGTCGAAAAGTGCTTCGTTTACAGTTTAAATTCTATGGTTTTTATTTATCACTTATTTCGCATTTATTATTATTATTATTATTAAGTGCAAATCTACACAATGTGCCCACCACGGGTATCGAAGACCGGTGTTTAACGTTATAAGCCTTCAGACTTGCCGCTGATCCACTAGGGGGAGGGGGATTATTTAAAGATATTACTTTGAATATTTCTTTTTTTTTCAATTCAGCGCTTTAAATAAAACCTTCTTAGATTAAGAAATTACTGAGTTATTTTTACCCCCATTTCGGAGGCGGGCGTGATTCAGCCGCCCTCATGCCATTGACTTACAATATAGTTTTGTTCATATTTAATGTTTGGGATTTCGTATTATTCCGCATAAGAATGTAGTGCTGAAACGTTTCATTGTTATTGTTATTCCTGAATAGGCTTAGAAGGCTTGTGTTTTATTGTAATTTACTTCTAAGGGGCTGTTACCGCTTTGCCAACGTATGCATCACGAGCTTTCAGATGCAAGTAAAAGCTACCATACTATCTAAAAGGCATAAACGGCTTAAGAGCATAATTATAGCACCATAAGCTTCTTTTAAATATTGAAAACTCCCACTGTCAAAATTATCGTGGATTAATGAATTTTGAAATTGTTTTATCGTTGTGATTTACTGTGCTGATTTTTCCAATATAGAGTTTAAAACTTACAACTATTAATCGTTCATAATATATTAGAGGCGTCTCCCCGTACATTCGCTACATAATTGTGACATTGTGTCGTCAAACAGACGATAAGGTTCAGAGCAGACGATAAAACTCAGAACGTTACATCGATTATGGAATACCCCCCCCCCCCGCCGTGCAAGTATAAGACCTATCTTTCATATTAGATATTACACAATTATTGATTATAGTTCTTAATGTTCTGTAGATTGTTTTTGTCTTTTAATTATATTTCTTTATTAGTTTTCGGCTCTAAAAACTAGGTTTACTGTTTGATAACTGTTTACTGAACTCATTCCTCTCTTTGGTGTTCGAAGTTTGTAATCAAATGTGAATCATACGATAAGGATTATAATCACGTTAACCAATCTCCTTCTAACATTGTTGTAGTTTGTTTGTTTGTAGTTATGCACAAAGCTACACAATGGGTTATCTGTGCTCTGCCTACCACGGGTATCGAAACCCGGTTTCTAGCGTTGCAAGTCCGCAGACATACCGCTGTGCCACTGGGGGGCCCTAACATTGTAATCCAATGAACTGTTGGTTTTTATATGCAACATTTGGTGCAAAGTATAGTGCTTTTTATTGAGATTTTGAAAAATATGAATGTTTTATTGGGATTTTATATATATCATTGTATTCTAACAATTCACTTTTTTAAAAATCTCTACAGTTAAAAAAAACAGCCTGTTATCTTCCACTCCCAAGCATTATTGAATACAAAGGGCTAAATATCTCAAAGTAATCATGATTCCAACCATATCAGTTTAGTTCGGCTTCGAAACTAGAAAAATTAAACGAAAATAACATTAGTTCCAGCGCTTTGCGTAACTAATAAAAGTTGGCCAGGCCTGGTAGTTAGGGCGCTTGACTCACAATCTGAGTGTCACTGGCTAGAATCCCCGTCACCGAATATACTTACCCTTTCAGTCTTGGAGGCGTTATAATGTGAGGGCCAATCTCACTGTTTGCTGGTAAAAAACTATCACAACTAAATTAAGGACGGCTAGTGCAGACAGCCCTCGTGTAGCCTTGCGTGAAATTCAAAACAAAAATCAAAGTAAACCAACAAATTTGATAATATATGAATGATAACACAGGAAATTCGGAAGGGAATTCAACAATTTACTAGAAATTCTTTTCCCACAGATACTAATATCTGATTCTAAAAATATGTTTTGAAGTTCTTGTTGTTTCTCGACGTCTAAGCACATAAATATCTTTTTTTATCATAAAAAATATTGCACTCGTTGCTTTCCATATCGGTCTACTCCTTTCATGTTCTTTAACCCCGCACTTCCTGGAAGTGCTTTATGTGATCTCACAAGAAGAAAAGTGTTGAGTTAAAGCTGGAAGTGTTCGAAGAGCTTTGTATCTGACTTCACCTGTGGTACACAACAGGACAGTTCCCAATCTGTGTCTGACTTACTCGTGGTACACAATAGGACAGTTCCCAATTTGTGTCCGACTTCACTCGTGGTACACAACAGGACAGTTCCCAATCTGTGTCTGACTTCACCTGTGGTACACAACAGGACAGTTCCCAATCTGTGTCTGACTTACTCGTGGTACACAATAGGACAGTTCCCAATCTGTGTCCGACTTCACTCGTGGTACACAACAGGACAGTTCCC